AATACATGGAACCAACCGAAGAGTAATCTCCAGTCCGTTCTATATAATATTGTAACCACCGATTCATGGTTTTATATCTTTATCAAGTCAATAAGCAAAGGAATTCACTTTGACCCCGATACGTATTGTAACCACCGATTCATGGTTTTATATCTTTATCAAGTCAATAAGCAAAGGAATTCACTTTGACCCCGATACGTAAATGTATTTATCGCAGTAAAATATTTAATTTATCTTAGTAAGCCTAGATGTGTTTCCTCAGAGCTGTCCTGTTTGTATTCATGCATTGGCGCTACAGGTATATCTGGAACGTCATTCTGTAGCCTTGTATTATTTTCTGAATGAGGAAAGAAAATCAGTGAACCGCAGGCACATTGAATCACGTAATATACACACAAAATCCCTCACAACCAAGAAAAGTAAAAAGGATTGAGAATTTTAAATGAGAAAAGAAAACCCATGTAGCCTATACAACCCCGACGGAGCAATGGCAAAAGATGTAACAGTAAACACAATTACAGTAATTACTCAAAGAAACTGCTCCTGTATATCCAGCCCCCTCCAAAAAAAAAACCCCCCAAAAAACCCATTGCCTTATCCAATCGAATCATGTGTATGTTGTTGAATAAGTTTGTTATTCAAACACATAGGCCTAGAAATATTCTGAACAACGTTTTATTTGCTGACTATCGCGTCGACAATAATTCCAGATATACTTATCGGAAATGGTGTCGTAAAAATACATTCTCTTTTCCTGGACCTAATAGGAGCAGCATATTACCCCCCCGTAAAAATTCCACTGAATCATAATTATTGTGCTTGGAGTTGGTAGTAGTAGTAGTCCAGTAAAACAACAGAAGATCATCTACAGAGAATAATATTGTGGAGTGATTGTTGTGCAAGGGAATCAACCAAGAGTAATATTAATACGATTTTAAGAAACTGAATGACTTCCCATAAACGGAAACCTTTATTTTGTCATCGTTTCACTGGTTCCATACGAAGAAGATCACTCAGAATGATAACGTAAAAAGGTGTCTACTCGTTAAATAACGAAGTGCAAAGCAGGTGTTGTGTCAATGAACGATGACACAATAAAAATTACTTCTTATCAAATTTAAAGAACGTACTTCAGTCATTTTAAGCGGGTTGTTGGCGGTTGCTCTGATAAGGCTTGCTCCTTCTTTCTAATATTATAACCTGTTGTCTTTATCTCCCCTCTTTCTTTATTGTATGTATTACTCTCTTGTAACACCTCTAATCCACGGCACTTATATGACCTTATTGTTTTGCAAGTACCTAAAAACCCTTATTAAACAAAATGTTAAAACAATCATGCTTATTTTTAAACGTATTATCATTATTATTTACCGTTTTCCTTTGACCGCAATCGTGGCATCTCAGTGGACTCTACCAACGGGACCACTATTTTTAACTTAATCGAAATATGGCGTTCACCATTGTTCGTAATTATATATTATACCTCATTCTCTTCCTTACAAAACACAAACACTTTATGTTTTCCTGTTTAAAAAATCCCTTGAAAAATAATATAATCAGCTTTAGAAAAACTGTCGCAGCCTAATATATTTTGATCAAGCAAAGACAAACACAAAGTTTGTTAACCTTTTGTTTTTTAAGCTGATATTTATACCCGGGTTTGACCAAATTAAAAGCAAGAAATCCAGACACTGGCGAATCTGAGTCAGCGCCAGTTGTACAGATAGGAAATTGTTAAAATGTTACATATACTTTATATAACTTTAAATGGTTTACCACACTAGATTTCATTATTTGCTATAATTTCTATTATCCTATTATACTTGTCATATGATATTCTTGTACACCAATTAGAGTATCCTCTTCCTCTTCCTCTTTCTCCTCCTCCTCCTCCTCCTCCTCATCATCATCATCATCATCATCATCCTCATCATCATCAAGTGCAACATCTGTACAAAACATCGGCAGATGACTCGCTATTTTTTTTTCTTCACTCACAATCTCCTAAAATAAAGATCATATATTATCCGGGTCTTTCCCCTTCACCCATCTGTTTACACACAAGTTGTTCTTGATCCACTCCTGCCCTGTTTTCCTTCTATTTTTCCAACGAGAGAAATAACCAATGAAGAACTAAACCCAATTTGTTTGCTAAAGTTTATTTCTTGTCATTTATGTCTTCCTCAGTTACTTGCCTTATTGTGTTTCTGGCACTGGCCAACGCACCTTTTCACTTGCCTTTCCAGTAGCCGATACATGTAAATATGAGGTCCAAAGACAATTTCCAACAGTTCGCAAGACCTGATCTAATTTTTTAATACTATTTTCCACTGTGTCCCTTGCTCAGTGCTTTATTTTGTAATTTTACAAATGCTAATGCTGCGCTACCTGGACCTCAAAGACCGTGAATATAATATGATAGCAAGTTATGTGGATATATATGGACATCGATTCATCAGGTTATTCTTGAAAATGCAAAATGGTACAGGTTTAACCTCCGTATCAACACTATAATGTTATTTAAAAAGGTACAATTTTACAAGCAACTTTGTACTAGCTAGACTCTTGCCAACCCTAGTTGTGAACTAAAAAGCTGGAAACAGCTTTATTTCTTAGTCATCCAACTTTCTTAAGTAGTTATGTCGGTCGTTACACACACAATGTTGTAAATGATCTACTTATTTTAAATATACCCAGATTTTTTTTTTCAAACACTCAATATCATTTTACAACTTGGGTCCGCAATTTTACATACAAGCAACTGTGTATTGACTAGAATATTTGATAAAATTGTCCATCGGGTAGAAAGTATGTAGGTTTCTTCGATTTCGTTATTTTGACAGGCGATTTCACAACGATGCAACACATAATAATAGTTCATCCATCATGAACGTACGATGAATTATCTTTAACACCAAGGAGGTAAAGAAGTCCAAGATTTTGCTTGGTACTGCAGGTAGCGCACATGCTAAGTAAAGACAGCAAAGCAACGGGAATAATAGCAAACAACGTTTAATAATCCCAACACCACTTTACCTACTTACTTTACTTAACCCTTTGTCTAGAAGACCGTTGGGGCTCCAAGGATGATTAGGCAACCACTTTTCTCATTTTTTCTCTAATTTTTAGCCTTTCAAAGGGGTTCGCCCAACTTCAAACCTGCCCATTCCGTTATGGTGTCTTCCATTCTCTTTTTCTGTCTGTCTTTCTTTCTCTCTCGTGTACAATGTACTGGGATCATCTTTGCGAGTCCTGTTTATCGTGTTATGTGCCCATATCATCTCAGTTTGTGTTTTTTCACGTAGATGAGTAGATCCTCATTGGGCCCAACAGTACAACACCACAACTCGCCACAAATAGTTGCATCTTCCTCTTTCTTAAAGCGGTGTGCTTATGTGCCTGAACTTAATAAAGTGGTTATTTGATTTAATCTTAGCATGGGTGTGCCTGTGACCTACCTAGGGACACTATTCATTCTTAGAAAAAAATGTCCACTAACAGAGCTCTTGTGGTCTGTCGGGTCAGTGTCAATATCAGGATTTGGCCGCCTAGACTTATCAGCTTCTCTGGCTCCTTTTCACTTTACAAACTCTGGATTTGTTTTTCGTTGGGGGTTTTTCAGGAGCATTGCTGCCAAAAGTCTATCACTTGTATTACCTATTTGTGTTGAAAGTACCGTAAACTTACTAAAACGAAGACAATATCAGATAACTACTGCAAATTATTATAAAAATCAAGACAACATACTATGTACAGTGAGTCTACGTCATGTTTATTCATCTCTCTGGTCATAGCTCTGTGACGTCATAGCACTGTGACGTCATAACACCGGACTGACGTCACAGTAGAAGGCGCACAGAAGAACATACACTATCTAACAAAAACTACAGCGAGAAGGAGAGACCTAGATCTAGATTTATACTGGATGGTTATAGGCAGAGTAGGAAAGGGAGGGAGAAGGGGGGCGAGGGGGCATTCTCTGGTCGTCATTGGGTAAACTATTTTGAGGGGTTATTCGGATTTG